CCTCACTGCAGCCTATGGAGCCACGGAGGAGCCTGGAGCCTCTGTACAAATCTGCAATATCTGTCCGGAGTTGTTTCGCAACCTGAGGAATGCGTTCCATCCTTAACAGGTCCGCTGTGAAACGAAATGAGTCCGGTACGTTTGTGGAACACCTACGAGAGTTCTTGAGAAAATGGGTGGAGCATGAATATATTCGACGCGAGCATGGCAAAACGATAACTGAAGCAAAATAATTCGTAGAGTAATGTCCTGCTCCATTTTGATTTCGCAGAAAACTGGACACTTTTCTTCCGTGAATAATTTAAGTCACATCACTGGCAAAAGACGCAAGTTTCGATCCTCATATCCGTTTTGACAACTAGAAAAGAAACGCGTAGCTGCGCCGTCATCAGTGATGACACCAGCCACGATTCCTCCCATGCATGTTACGCCGTTGCAAACATTCACGAGTGACTTGAAGACGTTGCTCCGCTTTACGCACATGTGGCGCACGTCAGTGGCGGTGCAGCGAGTGAATTTAAGAACCGGTATCAACTCTATAAGCTCACGAAAACCAAGTACCTGTCGGTCAAATGGCTATTTTCAGCTACTGGGCGTGGCAAGAACGTCTGTGACGGGATTGGAGGCTTCTTCAAACACCGTGCAACTATACTCAGTCTCTGAAGACGTGCCACATCAGCTAGTAAGTGTGCGTCACATATGGTGGACGTCCTCAAGACAAAATTACCGAATGTTGCACTAATTCACCTGCCAAGGCTTGTTCAGGAAAATGAAAACGAGACCCTTGGATTCTGTCCGGCCGGTGTCTAAAATTAAATCCTGACACTTCTGGCATGTGCACACGCGTCAAGCAACTGCACCACGAATCGCTGGTATCAAGAACGGGAGTGTCTACAAAGAAGTCACTTCGGAAATAAAGACTTGCTTCCAGCAGCATCCGTGAGCAGTCTAGTGCAAGACGGCTAGAACAAATTTTATACGAATCTGATCACAAATAATTATAAAAGCCATTTTACACAACGGGTACCCTTCAGTATTTATATTCTCTTCGCGTTTTACGGCTTGTGGTTACATGTTCAAAGCTAAGGACGATAAACGCAGTCCAACTCTGTGATTTCAAACGGTTCTGTTTTTATTATCCGTCTGAACGCGACTGCGCAAGGAGGGAGTAAAACTTGATTCTCAAGCCCGGCCGGCGCACCCATCTGTTTGCGCAACGCGCGCCGGAGAGCCAAGTGGAGCACGTTACGGTGCCTCGACGTCGTTTTGTTTAGGGTGATACCATTGTTTGTAGAACACGATGCAACAGCACGCGCTCATAGTAAAAATAGAAAGAAATCGCCGAAAACGAAATGCCGTCAATGTCCAGAACTCGTGCAGTGAAGGGAGGCGCTCTTTCATGCGTTCCACAACTACAACAAAAATACACAAAAGCGTCGGGAACAAAATGATCAGTTGTCATTACGCTAAGCAAACCGCATACGATAGTGCTTTACTGAGGGTGGTGCGCGATCTGCCTGCCGCTCGCCTCACGGGCACCTGCCGGGAGGTCCGGCCTCGTTTCACAGGTACGCCGCAGCAGAGGCGGGCCGGCTCCGCCGCGCCATACCGCTAGGCAAAAGGCTGAGATAAACATGTGTTAAGCTGAGCCGCTCCGGTCGCTTCCCTTGCGTGGTGTACACAGAGACCCCGCACGCCGGCTATTGAAAACAGGCCCTGAGAAGCATGCGACATGAGAAAGACTCTAGATCGCTCCGGACCGCCGCGCGATTTCTTTGACTCTTCAACAAAAATGCACTAAAATTTATATTTAAAACCACCGTTCACTCCTCTGCAGTCAATTTGTTTTTTCTGACCCCACTCAAGCATTTTTAGTTCGTAAAAAATTATGAATTTGTCATCTATGTGTATCTACACGCCCTATTCACGGTGCTGCGGTAGCTTCAATGTGGTCTTATTTCTAGCTTTATAACTTCAAATGCTCAAACATAATACAACATGCTGTTTGCAGATTCTGTTAGTACCTATTATTACACTTAATGTGAAAGAGTTTAAAAGAAATCGAAGATGTGCTTTTTTAAATTGAGTTACCAAATATCTCGTACATATTAAATGGCCCCGTTTGAGCGCTTTTCATAAATTTACTTTACTGCCAAGGGAAAACATATTTAGCGCCAATAATAAAAAGATACAGGACAACAAGCTGGCAAAGTTTTAAAGTTCTGGTATTTATAAATGCGGAGAAAAAAAAGTAAGTATTTTTGCGGAACGTGCCGTGTTTGCGATTTTTTTATAGAAATTAACAACGTCGTTTACATAATGATAAATATATTGAGTCAATTCTCCTATACGCAGTTTGTCAGTAAATATTTCTATACCTTTAGCCACAAAAGTGTTTGTTTAGGAGAGGTGACCCAGATGCCGAATTCGCACAATTCGCAGTAAACGCTTAGCACTGAGATCGTGCTTCTAATTTTTTTTCCGCAAGTACAATGTTTTCTTAATCTAAAAGCATTAATTGTTTTATGGACTGAACCGACGTCATCAGCTTTGAAGCCGCGCCAAACGGCACCTTCCCCTGTCCCAATGTCGTCTGTAGCAGAAATCTGATGGATAGGCTCCCATTGGACGGCGGGCGTCATCAAGGGACGGGGCTCCCATTAGATCTCGTGCGGCGTAGTTCCAAAGAAGGCCACCAGAAAAGCCCTCTCTATGGCGGCGCAGCGCACGCAGCGACCCGGCCGATAGTAAGAGGGAGCAGTGGCTGGCAGTGGCGGTAGAGCCCGTTCGGGCAAACTCCGGAGCGGGTGTATGGCCGAGCGTGGTGCAGACACTTCACGAGAGCTCGCGCTCGGCTGTCGGCCGGCGAAACGTGGCCGTCCACGCCAGTACGCCCTAGACAAACTAAGGGTGCGGAAGAACGACATTCACGCTTTCGCATTCACTACTCATGAGAAGTGCTTTGGTGCCCTTGGACTTTTTCGCAGAACAGATTTAGGTTTTGTTCTGATGGACACTGAGTCTACAAATTACATTTTTTTCGTAAAAATTAAAGATGGTCACCGGACATGGTCGGCCGAACTTACCTGAAAACAGCCTAGCACATTTTTTACGACGTGAGGCGAACCCGCAGACCGCTACCACCTTCAGCTCATTGACATGGTTAGGCGTCCTAGCGAATCAGGGACTCTCATACTCTAGGGCCCTCACCAGGAGTTGACTCAGGGCTGAGTGAGCAGGCCGGCTTATCCGGGCCCCTGGGTTTGGGCACAGTACTTGGTGGAAGTCTTAACGGCTTCTTCTTTTTTTGCCGGCCGTATCTTCCGGCGGTTCCGACGGACTCGAGAAGCTCTCGACCCTAAACAAATCTGAGTCCTGCTCAAGCGGTCGCTTTGTGGCCAGTGCACTGGTCACGAGGCGTCGCCGTTCCCTCATCCTCGCTTGATGCCGCCTCTTGAGGTTTCGCTGGGGTCTCGGCGACCGGTGTGGTGTTAGCCGTCGTAGGTGGATGCTCTAATGCGGGCCTGTCGAGGGGGCGAGAACCGCCCCCTCGACAGTTGCCTTTGCTTCCGTTTCGTCCATGAAGAACTCGGTGGTGGCATCCCCACCTCCAGAACCCGAAGCCGCTGCGTACGACCACGCAGTGGTTGGCATCATGTCCAAACCGGTTGCAGGTTTCGCACTTCGACACACGGCACTCACGGTGGATGTGGCCGGTCCGCTGGAAGCGCAGGTAAAGCGGTGCCCTGCCCGGCGATTTGCAGATGATATGGCATTTCATCCAAACCCAACCCGGGCTTGAGCCGATTTATGGACGTATCCGTCATCGATACACAGCCCGCAGCGCCCGGCACTCTCCACATCTCGGTTCACACTTCGGTCACCTTGCCATACAGCGCGGGTACCGCCCTCTCCTGCTCGTCGGGCACGTGGAAGAACAACTAGCGGAGCTTGATGTGGACGTCCCGGTTGCGCGGGTCGATGTCGATGCATGGCCGCTTTTTGACGATGAGGTCTCCCGTTGTGAGAACCCTCCTTTTACCCTCGTGTGACTTGAAATTCACGGCCCAGACTTGCATGGTTCATCTGGTGCTCCCTCAAAGCAATGACCTCGGGGAGCAGTCCCAGTTGACTCAGGATGTCTTCCAAACGATAGGGGCGGCCCCGACCGTCAGCATGCATGAAGACGGTGTTTAAAACCGCGAAACCAGTTGGCAGTGGCGTCAAGGTAATCTTATAATCAGTCGAAGCTGAGTCATCCCTGTCACCGCGGTCCGGCTGTGCCGCTGAAGATGCTCTGGAGGAGTCTAATATCCCACGCCAGCGCTCAGTGAAAGCCGGCGAAAATCTTTGAGCTACGGACCCAGCACGCAGGAACGGGAGGAGAGAGAAGAAGCAGGTGGCGTGATAAAGCGCGGTGAACGCAGAGAGGTGGGAAGGGCAACAAAAAGGGGAGCAGAAGAAGATGGTGTAGGAAGAACCAGCGGAACGAGGAGTGTAAAGAGCAGGAATGCACGCTTCCCTTCTCATGATGACCCAGAAAATTCAGCGCAAAAGGCTTTGTATCCGGGAGGTGCTAAAGGAAAGCGCGCTCAGCGTCACAAAGAGACATTCGTGTGACATTATCAGTTTCCATGCAAAACCCTGGGCATACCACCTTAACTATGAGCACCACCTGTCCAGGCATTGAAAGACTAAATCCTGCCCTAGGCACCACACGAACGGAGCGCACCACGCAGCCTATAAAGCTGTCACATTTAAACACGTTTCGCAAAATGACCAAATCTGCAGCCAATTTGTTTTTTTTGTTTGTTTTTTTGCTTAGCAATTTTTTTTTACTTAGCAAATAGATATTTGGCGCTGCTTGACTGGCACTATCAGGTCGTACCTTTGGCCGCGGCAGCACTTAATGTGGAATTGAGTAAAGTACCACACAGATGTTTGACGCCATCTCCCGTCGTTTAAAGGAGACAGCCTTCCGTCACGTTTCCTTCTCTCACCTTTCCGAAACTTGCCGCGTTGACCGGTTGCATTGTGTTCCTGGTACAGAAGTCCACGTAATGCAGGTACAGGGTATTTCGTGGAATGCAGACCCCCTCGGCAACCTCGTAGTTTTCTTCTAACCTGCACAGTAAAGAGAATCAAAATCAAATTGGGATGTGCATATGTGTAACCGCCTGGCACAGGATGTTGTCAAGCCCGCTGTCCAAACAGGACCCGCTTTCTGCTGTGCACAGCACTTACTGCACTGGAAACGGAGGTTTTCCCGCCACTTCCGGTACGCTTTAATAAGATTCGTTTTTGTTTTTTTTTTTGTTTTGTTGGGGGGAACGCTGTTTTTTTTTGCGTCCGTCCCTGGACATAGTCCTGGAGCGTGCTCATCACGTGGGTCCGACGCAGCCGATCACCCGCTCTGTTGGCTGTCCGCAAAGATCTCTGCTGCCTAACGCGCTGCCTGCAAGCGGTGCACTCTGGGTAGGTCGCCATCTTTGAGTTTGTGACAGCAGGCAGTTTCGACCGCACGGGCCGCTCTACTCAGCAATTCTTTCGGTAGTTGAGGTGACACCGTCCTTTGCTTTGCGAGGAGGGTGCCTTGCGGAGAATCAGCTGCCGCAGTAGGACGCAGTTGAAAAAAAAAGAAAAAGAGGAGAGAAAGGTTGCGGACTCTAGGTTGGATTTATGACTGCCGAGATTATGAACGCGCGAGTGCGAAAAGAATCGGCCACTCCGCCGCTCTCAGTAAGAACGCTAATGACTCGCGTGCATCAGCAGGAAAGATTTCGACAAGTACCGAGTATATGTTCAAGGTACCTTTTCTCAGATAAGTATCGGCACAGTTTGCTTTTCTCCGACATGCAGCATCAGCGGGAGAGGCCGATTGGAATGCGAGCTTCTACCCAAGGAGCGGCGTCAAATCCACATCGAAATAAACTCGTTCATCAGCACATATGTTTCTCCGCATTGCAGCAATATCAAAGCATTTCGTCGCTTTAAGCTGACGTCGATAGAAAGCGTGCGGCTTTTATAGCCTATAGTGCGATAGCTGTTAGTTGGGTTGTGGGAAATACCCGCCTAAACCTATGCTGCGCGTCCGAAAGTGTATTGTGCTCATAAAGGTACTTGGTTAGGTAATTTGTAATCATCTGTTCGATAAGGTTACACAATAAGCAAGTTAAATATACTGGGCGAGAGCTGCAGAGGATTGCCCTTCTTAAAAACCGGAACCAGACGTGCCGAGCGCTAGTCATGGGGTACAATCAAAACCGAAAATAACGCATTGACGATAACTGTTAAAAAAGTTGCCAGCACTTCCGCATATCTCTTCAGAGAAGAGTTTGGGATACCTTCCGGGCTACACGACTTTTTTAGCGTTAATATTAAGTAGCATAGCAGGCACACCCTGATTTGTAATTTTGTTACAACTCATTTTCTCTTACATCGCCAGTTACAAGTGGACCAGTTTCGCTTGCGTGAGAAAAAACGATCTAAAAATGCAGGTTAAATAAATCAGCCACTTTATCGTTCCGTACGGCGTAACCTTTGCGAAGAATCTGCGTAATGTCCTCTTTGTTTTGAGACAGATATTGCCAAACTTTCGGGGGTCAATATTTCATAACTCTTGAAAGTTTGTTGGGAACATAATTGCACCTGCCCTCTGCCAGTTTTTATTTTATGAAATCGCGAAGCTGCGAAATTACATTTGCGTTACATAACTGCGATTTTCTTTGGCGTTTGATTTTTTGTTTTAAATAATTGAATTTCGCATTATCCGCAGGTTTTTGGAACCGACTTGTTTTCGCTTTGCAGGGACAAAAGTCCGCACGCAATGTTCACCATGATCTGTGAATTTATTCGACAGTAAATTCATGTCATGATCCTTGAATGACCCAAGAGCTGTATCAGGATAACCTAGAATAAAAAAATCCTAATACAGCCGAGTTCAAGAGTTACAAAAGTTACAAATATATATATATATATATATATATATATATATATATATATATATATATATATATATATATATCAGGGTGTCGAACCGGAACCGAACCGAACCGAAAACTGGAACCGAAGCGGTATTTTTTCCGGAACTGAACCCGAACCCGAACCGTTATATTGTTATCGCGATGAACCCGAACCGGAACTGAACCGAAAAAAAAATAACGGTTACCGACTCATGTCGAAACGGTTCGGCCACGCGCTGTTGACAATGAATGTGCTATCAATGCCATTTGTTTTTTAAATGCCGTCAACTGACACACACCTCGCTTACATATTTTCCTTCTCCACTCAGTCTTAGGAATATAAACGCTGCATTCATGAATCTTGACAAACGCTGCATCCATGAATCTTGACATAGGAACCAGTATTGCGTTGGTCGCGGCTTGCACAGAAGAAAGAAAATTAAAAAACTGCGCAAAAAAAAAAAAAAAAAAAATTACGTCACGGGATTTTATTTTCCTACACTTTCGTAAATCCTAAATGCTGCTGTGTGCTCATTTCATAACACGTTTCTAGAATGCGCGAGTTCTTGAAGCTTACATAAAATTGAAAGAATAAAACACAGAGGACAAGCACAGGACAACCACTTTCTTTCATGGTCTTGTCCATGCTTGTCCTCTGTGTTTTATTCTTTCAATTTTATGTATTCATGTTCAACCCGCTCGCCTTCTTCAGTCTTGAAGCTTGCTTCCATCGGAATGAGAAAAGAAAAGGCTGTGGAGTTTGATAATAATGCATCCGGTTTCGTATAGGCACTTAGAAGCTAACATATTTGTGAGACAGCGAACTCTTCTATTTTAATATTTATCCTATTACGTCCTTCTGGCGTTGCGTTCGGTGAAGTGTTTTTCATATTCCGTATCTTGTTTAATGAAAACTTCTTTAAGGGTCTAATTTGATTTACCGAAGGCTAGTTCAAATAAAGAAAGCTGTATTTTCTCCCCACTGTTCCTTCAATTGCTTACACGCCGAGGTGGCGGGATAGTTAGCGAGTTCTACTTGTAAGTCGGTTTGTAAGGAGGTCGCGGATTTTACACCTACTGCGTCGGATCCTTTGAATTGTCGGTATCTTTGTATACTGTATAGGAAGGCGGAAACAAATCTATCCGATATGTCGTATTATAACTCTCTGGAATCACTGCCACACGTGGGTCGTAAGTTAACAACGCAGACTCTAGTTGCTCTCTTTTAGTCACCACACTTTGCACGCTCGCACAAATTATTCTAAGATATTTTTTCGGTACGTTGGCACAAATCAGGTTGGTCGCTTGGTCATTCCGTCACTATGGGTGGCGATCTTTCTCTTCGAAGTATGACTCTTTAGTTCGTGCTTTCATGCCAAGAGTAGAAATTATTATAAACGTACAGTTTATTATGAAACAGTCTTAACCTTTCATTTTTTTTGTCATTGGTTTGAACTGATGTCCATAATTGCTTACGCTTGGCCAAGGTTTTGATCAAAAGTCATTAGATTGAGACAACCTTGTGCTCCTTAGCTTGGAGCAGTTTTTTAAGAATGTAACTTTTTAATTATAACTGAACAGTCGTGAGATAACGGGTTTAATTTTGCCGTCTTGAGGCGTACACCTCTCCCCTGGCCATGCTGCCCGCTGTCGACATTTCCGGATGGCACCATATCCCACACGACCAACATTGTCAGCAACCATCTTTTCACGTATTTCTTAGTTTTGACGAATCTCTTTTTGGACATTGGTAGTATGAAGCAGGTAAAGCAATGAAAACCGATACAACGGAGTGATGCCAGCGTGTTTTGACGTGCGAAGGCCTATTGAGCTTCCCTTCATTTGTAGTTCACAGGCCGGTCCACAGACGGCGCTCGTTACTGAAAAAAAAAATCTGTGTTGCATGCTGATAATACAGTCCTAATGGCCGATAGCAACACAGAGCTTCAGTCCCTGATGAATATATGCGGCGCAGAGGGGAACATCTTTGGCTTAGAATTCAGTAGTGACAAATCAGCCTTGATGGTGCTCAATGATGACGGAATTGAAGAGTTAAAGATACAAGGATTTAAGATCGAGTGAGTTAATAAATACAAGTAACAAGGAGCCTGGATTAACTAGGGTACAGAATACCTTCGTTAACATGCAAGATGCATAACTGGTAAGGGCAACAGAAATGCAGCTGTAATGAAAGATAGAGGACTGTGGAACTATAACAGGTATGAAGTGGTGAGAGAGATCTGGAGAGGGGTTTTGATTCCAAGCCTGACTTTTACAAATGCAGTTTTCTGCAGAAATCTGGACGTCCAGACAACGCTAGAAATAAATAACCGTGCAGTAGGTAGCCTGGCTCAGCGAGCACGTGGCAAAACACTGAACCAAAGTGCGGAAAGCCATATTGGATGGTACTTATTTGAGGGCAGGGAAGCTAGCAGTAGATAAATATGACGATATGCTGAGAGAGACGCTGAACGATAGGCACGAAGAGTTCTTAGCCATTAACACATAAAAAACATCGATACAGAATGGAAAAAGCGGATTATAAAACTTAGATCTAAATATATGGGCAATCTCAAGGAGGCGAAGGAGAAAATAATTAAGAAAAAAGTTAAAGAAACTGAGAGGAAAATATCGGAAGCAGGCATGCAGACTAAAGCCTCATTGAAAGTCTACAGATCGTTTAAAAAAGACATTACTAAGGAGCCCATCTTCGACAATTCTAGGGGGAGCTCCTTGTTGTTCGGGGCGTGTACGGGAGTGCTGCGGATTAAGATACATTGAGTTTCACCTTATGTTGGACCGCAGCGGAGGCTAGAAGCGCGAGCTCATATCATTGGCAGCTGCTCTTACTGCACGAGAGCTTGTGCCGCCGAGATGTGCCCCAGAGCAAGAAGCTCGCGCTTGTAGCCTTTTCTGCGGTACAGCATAAGGTGAAAAAGAGTATAGACATGACGAAGTAGATACAGGCTGTGGAGCTTGGAGAGAGGAAAAGGAGACGGCTGAGCACTTTATACCTTACTGTAAGGGGCTTCACCTTGAAATAGCTGATGAGGCGACTAATTTAACAAACGCATTCAGATTTAGGGATAGTGAGAGAAAAACAAACATTGGGGAGGTAGAGACATCAATGACGGGGGGCATAGGTCGAGGGAAGAATTAATATTTTCTTATTCCCTTTCGGGCGGCCCGTAGGGCGGAAGATGTGTGCACCCGGTTGCATAGAGGCGCCTCCGTCGTACGTATCGGAACTTTTAAGAATAAATCTTAGATATATAACTCTGTGTTAAATAAATGTTAGGATAAAAACACTGGCTAGGTGGCGCCAGCTACCACCCGATTCAATAGGTTCGGCATCATCCATCCATTTATTTATTCATCCATCCAGGTTCATTGAATTACTATTCAAGTATGTTAACTATCTCTTCTTTCGTTCAGATAAGCATTATCAAGAGAGACTGTGTTGCTTTATTTCCCCTGTCAGTTTATCATGACCGAACTCACCAGACAAGTGTGGCCGGTGTGGAGTGAGGACGGAGAACTCGACCAATCACGGGACTGCTCTTGATCTGGTGCTCTCCTGTGACGAAAGAAAACAAGCTCACATTTACCGAGGTGCAACATTCAGCTTGTCTTAAAACCATAGCGTGTAGGTACACGCCTTCATTTCGGCGATTATAAGCTCGTTCCCTTCACGGCATCGCCACTGCCGAACGCAATACTAGACAAGACATCACAAGTCCTTATTTCCAAGTTTACTTTTAACGATGCGTGTTTGTATGATTCCGCGACCTCCGAAAATGAAAACCTGCTACGGTTTTAACGTGGAGTACACTTTTATCATCGAATATTGTACTAAAGACTGTTAGAAAAAAAAAAATAAAGATGTTTACAATTCCATGTAATGCCGCATTGGAGCGCAGCTCTTGAGGAGGAGGAGGGGAGGGTGCGGAGGGAAGAATAGGTCCCTTCTCCCCCTCCTCCTCTTCCCATCCTGCTCTCCTGCTGCCCTCCCATTTAGAAAAAAGATTTTCACTGAATTTCCCACAAGCATTAGCGAAAATGTCTCCTTTAAATTTACCGTGAAATTTGACAAAAATTTTCTTATTAAATTTATCGGGGAAATTTTCCCGCTAAATTTAGCGGGGAAACTAAATTGGTGTAGAAGTAACGTGACGTCAACTTAACCCGCTAGATTTCGCGGGGAAATTTTTCCCGCTGAATTTAGGGGAAAACTTTTCCGCTAAATTTAGCGGGAAGTTTTTTTCATAATGCAACGCGCGGTTACGCCGATGCCGACGCCGACGCCGACGCCGACGCCGACGCCGCTCAACCCGGCAACGGGCACCTAACCGCTCATTCACACTAGAAGCGGATCCGCGTTCGCAAAGCGGTTGCAAACGCGGTTGTATAAAGATCCAGTACAATTGCACGCGCACTCGATGACATCAACTGCGCGTGCAATTGTACTGGATCTTTATACAACCGCGTTCGCAACCGCTTTGCGAATGCGGACCCGCTTCCAGTGTGAATGAGCGGTAAGAGCTGCGCTCCAAAGGTCAACCAAGCTCCTTCATGCACTTCCTATTGAATAGTTAGAATAAAATCGTCCAAAATGTTTCAATCATAAATTTGAGTTCATTTTAGCATACTCAAAACAATTATACTTATCAAATTAAAGCCTCCCCGATTCACAAGTTATACTTTGATACCTGGACGAGCATTTCCGTGGTGGTTCGAGTCCAATCGCTGCGATGAAGGGAATTGCCAAACACTAAGTCCCCAGTCCCACTGCTAATACGCCATACAAAAGACACGGTGTTCGCGGCAGATATGACAGAATTATCTGGGGATACGCGCCAAGCATGATCGAAGCGTGTTTGCTTCAAGTTGCAGACATTTTATTTGTGTGATCCATGTCTGCGCTGACAGTCCTTGTCTACGTGTCCTCAGACAGTCGACATGACTGCAGACATTGTTTGTGACCGATGCCGACAGGACCGACATCAAGAAGGAAACACGCCTCAGACACTATGTGCAGACTGTCCTTTGTATGATGTACTAGCAGTGTGACCGGGGCTTGACAAGTCAGCACATGCCCCGTGCTTTACCAACCCCAGGGCGTGACTATATGATGAACATTGGTGGCGTACAATAGGCACTGAAGTACGTGGCCGCTTGTTCTGGCTTCGAGTTGACGGGGTGAATGCCCGTTGTTTTTCTCCCACTTTCTCTCTGCAACTATACCATTGCGTAGCAATAAAAAGAAAACAAAAACAAAACGAAAACAAAATGTTTAGGGTATGAACGTTAAGTTTTAACTCTAAGCCATAGTTACTGGAAGTGCGAGAATTGGTTAACCACATCATTAAGAGTATGTCCAGGTCGAGTTTGATCTCCGGGTTTATGAGTCTAGATGGCTCGGTAAAGGACGAGCCAGAATTTGTGGGCGAGACCAATCTGATATGCCTGGTTCGCGTTTACACCGATGCCTCCTGTGTGTGAAACAGCTCCTATGCAACTTCCGCCATGTGTTTCCTTTTTTTTTTTGTATCATGTAACACTATTGCGTGGTGCACGTTAAAGACCCCAGGTTAGCGGTTGTACTGCACTGGCTAAATTTCCCATTTACTGAGTGACTCGTCGCAACTTCTAGATGGCTGACCAACTGCAAGGACATTTTTGGGCCAACAGTTTTAAGTCTCCGTACGTCCCTGCCCGTACTCAGACCGAAAGAGCGTTATAAGACACATCCGTGTTTTACAAGATATGGTAAAAGAACCCGATTGTACTAGGTACATGCATGCTTGAATGAACTCCCGTCGAGTGTTATTAATCCCACAACAAGGTATAAATTGAAGAAAACGCTCAGAAACATTAATGATACCCTTCCTCCTCCCCCCCCTCCCCCCCCCCCCCCCCCCCACCCCTCCCTACTCTCCTGGTTGACTTTGGTTTCGATTTTGATTTCGTTTAGTTTTTAACTTCTGTACTCTATTTGTGTGTCTGAGTTTCATTTGGTGACTACCAGACGCTGCCAGACAAGCCCAATGATGCTTTGGCACGTCTGTTTTTGTATGTGTACACTAAATGCAATAAAAATTATTATTATTATTATTAACTGCATGTTGTCTAAATATCCACACAGCCACAATTATTAAGGCGTGTGCATGACCTTGATCGGCGTCCGCGTAGCACGTTCGAGTATCAAAGCTCCCTGAACAAGAACATCGACGTCCATACACAGATTGGACACCGAGTGCTGCGTCAGTGCTCGGCTGGGCCTCGCGTCCAATCAGCGTGTCGAAGGACGCTGGGCATCGGGCTCGGGCCCAATTGCTGAGTCGGCGCCATCCGAGCGTGATGAAGTTCCAGGGAGAAGGAGGGGGATGTTCGGCGGGCCTTGATTATTTTAAGTGGCGTTCGCTTGGCGCCCATAGCTTGCTTCACATTGCCCCGGAAAGCTGTCTCCGAGCTGAGCCCCGTTCATTGAAGAGCGTCTGCTTGGTGTCATCCTCAGCGGGCGTTAATATGGCGCGTTTGTACTTGCCTGCTGACGCGATAAATGCACGTGGGCTGAGATATCGGGATTGCATGCTAAGGGGAATTGTATACGTGAATAGCACTAGCGTGTGGTCGTGTTAAGCCGATTTGACATGGCGCTGTTTTCCTTGCGATTTGCGGTTTCAACATTGCTCTTAATCACAAACATGCACACAAAAAGAAGAAAAAAACGCGGTCACAGCACACAGTGGAAGTGTATGCTGCGTACACGGTAATTTTGCCTCCCGAGATTGAACATTGCAAGCGTAATCGCACCATAACAAACGAACGATTTTTGGCGCTTTTTAATGTACTACATGAAAGAACTGGCCCCATTGCGTCCTGTATCAACCATGTTCACTCTTTCTTGTGTATTTGCGCTTTTTTACTTGAGGTAATCGTTAACAAACCAAATTTCCGTCTAAAAAAAAATAAAATTTTTTTTCACTTGGCAAAAGAAGAAAAGTGGTGTTTGCCGCATACTGTGACAAGGCCTTTTGGCATTTCAGGTCAACGTATGCCACGAAGCAAGACCAGCTTTAGTCAAAGCGGGGCCCTTGACAAGAAATTCAATATACAAGTAAAACTGAAAATAAAGATACTTTTTCATAAATAACACAAGAGCACACAATATAAACGTTCTCAATGGTGGTAAAAAATGGCAACGAGTTAGGGCTGCGGTGAGAAAAGTAACTCCATTATTTCGCTGTGCATATTTTGTATATTCTAGGATACAGAGATCAGGCTCCGGATTTAAGCTAGCTGTTATTGTAGAAATAAAACAAAATGATTCACAGTTATTATTTCAATTTAAATTAAAGAACGCCTTTAAGGTGGTTAGCAATTGCCCATGAGAGTTTTCCTATTTAAATTTAGATTGGTTATCTTCACCGCACATTAGGTGTGCGACGCGGAATCGTCCCCTTCCAGGAGGTCAAATGAACACAAGTGGAATACGAACCCGTAAGGGCAATACTGCGCAGGGCAGAAAGAGGACACCGAAGAAGGGAAATTCGCTAGTTATACGCGGAAGTGTAATATATCCACGTCCTGCGTCGAGACTTCTGAAAAACTAGCGAGCAAAGTATGGCAACAATTACTTGGAGTTTCATACTAATACTTCCATACTAAATGAATTATCATGCACAGTCTACCAGTCTACAGTCTCCTATTTCGGTAAAACAAAACATTTTCCTGCTTTAGCTGTACTGCGTGATCTACTTAATGGGTCGGTGCAACGATTTTTGTTCTTTGCGTAAATACTGCTTAGAATGAATCTCTGGTGTTTATAACCCACGAAACGCGTGTTAGTTTTTGTTATTGTGCATTGGCAGTCAAAAAATATATTAAAGAAAAACGAGCAGCGTTTTCTTTCTCAATTCATGGTCAGAACAGGTGGCCACGTGATCTGGAGTAGATTATATGCCGCCAATTTTCATCATCTACGCGCTAGAATTGACAAAGCACAGGACACACGCTGAGTTCCAGAAATTATTATGGTTCAGCTATTGTCATCATTGAATCGATCGGGCACGAATCACTACCCGAAGGCTTGTCGAGTTATTGATTATCACGAGCCCAAATCGAGTGCTCACGCTATATTCTGGGTCAATCTATGAGCCGGGGAAGATTGCCTGCTAGCGCTACAAAAGAGCGAGCGGCTAAACACAGAAACACTTTTTTTTTCGTCTTTTTTTTCGGTATTGTGGAGAGGAGAAACCTAACGTCAACCCTTTTCCTTTCCCGTTTCTCCCTGCGCCCGCATCTCCGCAACGGTCCTTGGACCTCGAACGCGAAACCGACTTAGACAAAACTGCATGGTTCTTCCGCTGCGCGATACGATGGTCCGACGACGACGCACTCCGCTGGCACGTTGACGACTCCGCCGACACCGCCGGCATGGTGCATTGTTGCCAGCGCCCTTTCGAATCGCTGCAGCCGTTTCTCCGGGAGTACGAAAACGACGGTGACGAAAACACAAAAACAAGCGTGGTTCGGGGAGCGGCCGCTCATGACCCAAGCGCTCGCACACTATCTCTGCCCTTTCTGCTCTGCGCTACCATATGCGGAGGGCAAGTTCGTCTGCTTCTTGCGCAGGGGGTAGCGGTGACGTCAGAACGCCGAGCCCTGATTGGCTGATCGCGACCCTCTATCTGAGCGTCGTCTGCTCCTTTGCAACGTCGCCTGCTCGCAACGTCGTCTGCGTCTGTCTTACCTTTCCTGCGACTTTCGTTTGCGAACTGCTCGGGGACGACTTTGAGCTGAAAAAGCACTGTCTAAAGTCCCAACCCCATGGGGTGTTGTTTCATGCGCTTCGGCCGCGTCAACTTCGAAGCGCGTCGCTCGAGGTCACCCACAACAATGCTACGTGCGAGCCGACGTCCAGATCTGGTCGGGACAAATATCGGCACGACGCGACGCGCGCCAACTCGACGTGACGCTGACACGGGCGTAGCGCTTGGAAATCGCCCCATGTGTTTGGGTCTTAATGCGAATGAGCGAAGTCGAATGTATTTTCCTGGTAATAATAATAGAAAAATAATAGTAATATAATAAATTCAGGGGAAGAAGAATACGATTCAACATAAGGAGCCCGTCGCTCCGCCACTTGTTTATAATTTTCACTGGAAAAAGCGAAATGGATCATCATCAATGTTGTCAGAGAGGCGCATAAGATCACCGGTCGGACGGTGAGTGAATTTACCACCCCAAAATTTGCGAATTTCATTTAAGCCTAATGACCAAGTATAGTGCAGGCGGCCGCTCAGAGGCCTGCCCCACACACTTTACTCGACCTAAATCAACCGCGCTGAATCATCAGCGCGATTGATTTCTACCGACCGACGGCAGCGGAGGAGATCCTTCGTTTCCGCCACCCCTAGATTATCGGCCAACAACACCCTATCCTCGCCTATCAAGCAAGTGGGAGAGACGTGGTAAATAGTCATCCATGGTATTCATACGCCCTTTCCGGATGAAGAAATCTAACATGAATTGGAGGTACAATGAACAAAGATCCTCCAAGCGAGAAGGATCGGTTCATCCAAAACGACCCTCATCACATTGAAACGCATCTGCCTTCCTCGATTCGCGCTATGCATTGGGCTGTTAATGAGATTATACCCTCACAGGTCAACAAGCCTCTTCTGGAACATCTGTGTCGTCATAGGCCACCAAGCGGATATGTGCTCACACAAGCCCCATTTCTGTACCCGCCTGAGGTGTGGAACCAAGCTCCCACCTGGTTCGTCCGAGAATACGCCCCACAACTGCGTGCCTTACTGCCAGAACTGCGGGGTAGAAATCCAGCTAATCACTCCGAAAAACTGGTGTGACAAGAGGCAGACAAAACCCGACGGGAGGACGAGCGCAACAAAAAACTGCGGCAGCAGTCCCCCCAAAGATCGCGCAGCCGGCGAAAATCGCGTAGCCGCAACAGGCCGCACCTGAGTCGCAGTATAAGAGGGCGACTTGAATCAAGTTTTACGCCTACCGATGAACAAAATGTACACAGCCTTACAAAGCGCGGAGAGAGCACGAAGCAATAGCAAGAACCACAGAGACAGCCGCAGTTGCAGCCGAGATGAGAGCTTGGCTCGCCAGCCGTCAGCGCACACAGAACCCTCAAGTCAAGGGTTAAGTTCAGCAGTTTAAACGCCAAGGAACAATTAACCCGACGGATATCACCCACTCACCGCGACAACGCCTGGGATTGACCTCTCCAGGCTCGGGAGTACCACTTTGCAGATATTCTGCCGCCGAACCGTGAATGGTCACCACTACATTACCAAAACCAACATGCCGCAACAGTCGCTTCGACAGCACTGAAAAGTGGTTCATATCCCACTTCTCAGCCTATATCGTTTACATCGTCCTCCAGTCGCCAGAATTATAAACCCTAAATCGATTCATCAAAAAAAAAAAAAAAAGACAGTGGAGCAAACTTTAGCGTGCATCAATAGGGATTAGGTGCAATCGATCGACGTGCGGATAGTCATGTTGGAACGCTGGCCTGAACGGTAAGCTCCAATCGTACAGTGGCCAATCTGACTGTCGGTCCCCGAGAGCGATTGCGCTCTGGGGAAATGACTGAACAGTACGAACTTATGACAGAAAGTGCGTATATTTACAGTAAAATTTTAGCATAAAAATAATAGGTAAAATCGAAAAAAAGCTATCCTTTATTTTGCTGTTTAAATATACTACGGTTGCTGGAGAAACTGCCCTCCAAATAGCGCGCTGGGATGAGCGCTAGAAGTTTTCGAGCACGCCACGGCGTAGCTCCGTACACTTAACACCTGCCGCAAGTCGCGGCTTTAACTATATTCAAGTTGATCGAAAGGCGATTTCTCTGCCCGTGAAGCATCACTTCCAGCTGAGTGAATATCCGCTCTACAGAGATTAATTCAAGCCTGCAATTGCAGCCGTGCGCGAACAGCACAAATAGAAAAGCAAACACTACAATAGAAATACTGGCTACGAAGTGCCGTGCGGGAAACAAACTCATGGCTTGGAACCGCATCGGAGCGGCTTGATTTATTGGCTTTCAAATAATTACGGCATGATCGAGCGTTTTCTTTTTATTAAGAGATGCATCCCCTGAGCCACTGAGCCATTAAAAATACTTTCAGAGGTATGACATTGCTGAAAAACGATCAACATGCTGAGAATATTTTTTACTGCTTAGGCAGTCATCTAGAAATTCCGTACGTTCAAAATGGCTAGTATAAAAGACGGAAACGCAGAGCTCGGGAGTAGTATCGGGTTTGTGTAGCGGACGTTTTTAACGAAGCATTCGATCTTAGCTTTCATCTGCCGTCTTTACTAACGGCTCATACCATCCTCATCCCTAAGACGGAAGATATAGCTGAACTCAGGCTCGTGACATCGTATCGTCCCATAAGTTTGACCAACGTCGACCAAAACGTTTTGATGAAGGTCTTGGCCAGAAGAATGCAAAACGTTGTAACCAAGATAGTCGGACCTCATCAGACTTGTTGGATAAAAGGTAGAACAATTTTTACTAACATTCACACAGCGCGGAGTGTCCTGGAATGCTGCGACGCCATGCATAGCCGTGTGGCCATGCTACAAGTGGATCTCCAGAAGGCCTTTGACCGGGTACCACACGAAGTCCTATTGGCTATTCTCGATCATGTTAACGTAGGAAGAGTCATACGCGAGGGGGTGCGCATGGCGTACAGTGGCTGTACAACTAGCCTAATAGTCAATAAATCTGTAGGGAGACGTATTGTGGTACAACGCTTTCTCCGACAAGGCTGTCCCCTTTTCCCTCTACTTTTTTGTATATACATAGAATCTGCTACAAAGCGTCTATAATCAGCTTGTTGCCATTAATTTGCGACTAATTATGGGTACGTATAATTAATTATGACTTAGGATGCATTTTCTCTTTAGATGCTTGTGCATTGCCTACTATGGACTGTGTGTGCTTTGCACTCGGCCAGCCTGTATCCCTTTTTCGTTACACTCGAGCTTGACACTTTTTGCCTAAAATGCAGTCCATAAACACACTCTCCATTAATATGTGAACTGAAGTAAACTCAGCACACTGATCGAAGGAAACATGATAATTCTTGTACGTAATGCGAGAAACGGAACGGCCACTGGCCAACTCCGTCGCTTCGAGGCAAAGGTGCCACTCACCTTCCCCGGAGTGGCTTTGCTCACATTTTACTTTGAGGCGCCCAATCCAGGAAGTGGACGTCACTGCGGAGTTTTTCGAGAAAACAGAAAAGAACGCTGTTTTAAACCTTCAGGCTATCCGTGTACTGAAGTTACATCGCAGCGATGCGCCGAGAAACTCTGGGAGAGGAAGAGACAATGAACGTTCGGGGACGTCAGAATGACAAGCTCTGGTCGGAATGACTAGTGGGTAGAGCTGAACCTAGCAACCTTTGTCTCCACTGCACTCGTCGAACGCGTTAGAACTCAGAGCGCCGGCGTCCGGCGTTTGGCTTTCGCGTTCGAACGGGTTCGACGGGTGCTCGGGAGACAAAGGCTGCTAGGTTCAGCTCTACACATTAATCACTCGAACCAGAGCTCGCTGTTCTGACGTCCCCGAGCCTTCATTATCTGCACCTCTACCTTAGATTCTCGGCAGATAGCCAGAGCGTCTTTAGATCAGAACGTATGTTAACCAAATGAATACACAAGGTTTCTTTTGGTTTGTTATCGGTACCAAATTTTAGTTGAGGGTAACCTGCTATAGGGCTTTGATAGACCTAAGGTCAAGGTAGGAGCCATGGGGGCCACTATAAAAAAGGTGAAAGCGAAATATCACTTAACCAAATAAGCAGTTTTAACCAACATTTTTTTTAAGTTTAATTTTTTGGGGCGTAATGTACTCGGAGAATTTAAGCTCGGCCTCATAGTCTATTTACGGCGAGATGTTTTGGTGGCGGTCTCCAATGTTTTTTCTCTCGTGACGTCATTACCTCACGAACAACAAGTTAGATGGTGTTTGTAATGAGCCTGGTGGAAGCTTGAAATCATTGCGCTCTGAAACCAGCGCTTCCAACACCGTCAAAATTGAAGTTCCTCCATTACTCTTATTTCCGTCGATGAAAAATCCTTTGCTGACGTCATTGTCAGCATTCGGCCAATCGTGGCAGGCCGACCACAGCGACGCTTTCGATCGCTCACGTCACCGATAGTCACTGAGAAGGTGCAAACGGCAGAGGAAGTTCAGTTGTGCCCCCTCGAGCGCCAGCTTTCTAACTTCGAGAACACTTCAGCGTCTCGTGCACGTCGAGCGCGTGTTCGCGCAGCCAGAGCACACTGGAAGGTGTGGAGAGCGTACTGGAGGCCGGCCTTTCGAAATACCATAGCCTCCTATATATTGACAAAGCCTGGCAGATCACCACGGGAAGCGGCCACCGAAATCGAAAAGGTATAGCGGCAGACAACGGATGAAAGGAGAGCCATGTGACTGGCGCCCCGCTGCGGCGGGACGCCGAAACCCACTTCTCCCGAGCGAACAAGTGTGTTTTGGGTCCTCGCCGCTGCAAAAGTTGTTGCTCTGACGTCCAGATTCCCCGAGAAATAGCTCTTTGATGCTTTGTGCAACCAGATCCTCGCGCTCAAAATCTGCGACTGGGCACTCTATGGCTCCGTCGTCGAACTGCCAGGCTTTGCGAGTATAGAGGAGGCTATGGAGAGACAGGCCCTGCCGTTCTCCCTCTGCTGGTGACTATAGCCGCGTGACGTGAAATTTGTATTAACATATTCGTAGTGGGACCTACGAGGCAAAAAATGTCATCCCTGTCCACCCAGCTCGAGACCAAAACTGTGCCACCGACCCCCACCTCCGATTTCAATTCTTGGAACCTGCACTTGCATCGCACCACTCACGTTACCGTCGTCGTGGGCACGGGGGTTGCGGGGCCGGCGCGGAATGGAGTGATTGACGTCCCTAGGGCGCTTCAGCGGCTCAGCTTTGATTTTCCAGCCGTACACGAGATAGACATTTCCCACCCTGTAGTGGTCATTCTGTAGTTTTCTTTTAATAAACGATATCGAGCCACGGCTAGTGTATAATGTCGTCGAGCGTCAATGCTAAAACTGCATTATTCCCCATAAACTGGAAAAGTAAACGTTAGTCAAAAAACTGTTTTGTTAATTACCTAACTTGCCAATTTCGTACCTTTTCTATAGTGACCCCCATAGCCCCCATTGAAGGCCCAGGGCTATGAAAAACCTTAATGCAAGTTCCTTCTCCAAATTCTAGTCCCCCCCCCCCTTCCAGAAAAAAAACACCCTGTACATCGCATACGTATAGGCTGCCATAAATCCCCCGCTCAGTCTCAAATCGGCCGGAAAAATCAGCGCATGCTTGCAGCGATTTCAAGTCGTAAATATGAACTAAATAAGTTGTCGAATATTATAAAACAAAAATTCTTAAAAGAATACCGAAGGGCGGATCATCCACTGACATCTTCGCTCTTCGCAACTTACTGAACACTGTGCATACTTACGAGAACATAGAGGGCTAAAAGTTGACGCTGTTTTGTACACCGTTATGCTGTGCGAGATATTGTTGAAAAATTTGCCAAGCTACTCCTAATAGCGTACTATAACAGAAGGAGTTTCGATGACCAAAGCACGGCTGTTTGACCAACATCGTCATAGTGGACACTTAGAGGGAATATTTTAGTTTCTGAAGATCGAGGTAGAATTTCTGAAAGAAAAGTGATGGTTCGGACCAATTTTTAAGGGATAGTCAATCGTTCTCCCGAGCCCACCACCAGGCGAGATTCAAAACCAAGCGCAACAGTACCCCACAATCGTGCAAAGCCCTCTTAAACAGAATTATTTCTCTGCGGCTCAGGGGGGAACATAAAACGAGGAGTTCGTCACCGCAGAAAGAGTAGAAGGAAAGAACCAAGCACGATAGTGCAATGTTGATACGGAAAGCAGGTTCTAGACAAAACATACTGAAGGTACGGAACCTCTTGCGCTACTAGCAATAAAAGACACGCGAAAACCATGTGTGACCCCAACAGAAGAAAAGTTAAGGGCAACGCCCTAGAGTGTAGTAATGCCAAGGTTCTGCATGCATTCGCAGCTCCATCTAAAGGGTATAAGGTATGATTCCGTGTTTTAGGACTTTATTTTTCGTAAGCTTCGGAGGTGGTTTTTTCGAGCTAATTTTTTTCTAGGAACTTGGCGTTTAACAGACTATATTTTTGTTGAATTGTCAACGTTCCGAAATTCGAAGTTTAATTTCACTCTTTTCTTAAATTTTTCAAACTTTAATTATATAATTAAACATTTCTGAAAAAAAAGCATACCCTAAGTTGATGAAGTCTTCCGGTATCGAAAAGTACCGTATTTTCCGGGCTATAGCCCGCGGACTATACATGTTTAAAAGCTGAAATTTCTGGTTATGCGGACTATCTACGCGTGCGGACTATACAGGAATTATGTTTTTCAAGATCATTTATTTTGACGAGACGTGACGAATTTTGTGCACGAAAGTTTATGTTAATGATGATTTATGCACATTATAGGCTTTATTGTGAGCTAAAAAGCAGACATGTGTAAACGTGTGCCGTCTATGAGAAGATTTTCGTGTCGACTAAGCACCAGGTGCGGACTAAGCACCGGGTGCGGGCTATGCACCGGGTGCGGGCTATCTAAGCAAAATCTTTTATTTTTGACCCCAAATTTCCCCCTGCGGACTATACACCGGGTGCGGACTATAGTCCGGAAAATACGGTATTTCTGCAGCGGCATTTGGCAATAACACCCGTGCAATTGAAAGTACTATCTATCCCACGAGAAATCTTGCAAAATGTGTTGCTTCAATAATCATCAGTATACTTTGATATAGCCGAAGTGCTGAACGTAGTGGCTGGTAAGCGTAAGGCAGGGGGCACACTGCCCAGACATCATACAAAAGAAAGTCTGCAAACACTAGTCACCGATATTCTCGTGGTTTGAATGCCGCGTGCCAAGTTTCCCCTTGAACTCAATGCCACGCCGCATTCGAAGCATGGATCTCCCGATGGCTCCGGTTCGAGCCTGTACGCAGACTGTCTTTTTTACGATATATAAGCAGTGTGACCCCGGATTAAATTCTGCAACTGCCCTTCTGTAGAACCTACTATTTTGTTTCAGTCTGATAAAAATACCACCGTCCTCCTGTATCCAAGAAGCAGAAATAGTATGGTCCAACCTGGTGTCCAGAAAAGTGACTTTAGTCTTGGCCCAGAAGTACACTGACTTGTTGTACTCAACGAATCTTGACGAGACAAGCGAGAAACTAAATTTTTTTAATAACCGGAAATAAACAGCGCGCAAATATATGACAAAGACGAAGGGAAGATGCGAACGGCACAAGCACTGGGCTCACCACTAAACATTTATCGAAAAAACACCAACGGAGCAAACCGCACTATCGCTTCAGCACGTGTCAAGATAAGCAATTTTCTTTTTCTGAAGAAAAGCCGATTTTTAGTTGACGCATGCACCTTGCCCCTCTTTTGTTATTGCATACCCTTCTAATAATTCTCTGGTGGTTTTATCTGTGCCCCTTCCGATGATGATGATGTTGTTGAATTTGGGTTGAGATTTACATGCAGCACAATTTACACGCAGCAACCCCCAGCGGTCGACCGGAGTGACCAGTCACGTTCACGTGCCTGTCATGAATACATCGACCAGATTGGACGATGTACAGTCGCGGACAAAAGTCTCCAGGACGTGCGAGCTGCGGATGAAACACATCGCTCTGCCATCTGCCGGCGGGTCGCCTGGTTTCGAGATCACACAAAAGCGCATGCGCGTCCTACTCTGCCTGCAAACATGTCTGTTTTCCCGCTCTTCTGCGGCACAGTGACTAACTCGGAACCGGGCGCGTGGTACCGCCTCGGAGATAGCGCTGGCGGCTGACGAGCGTCTGCTACACATTCCGAAACTCGAGATACCGCCTGGGACATTTCGCCGCATTTCGCCGTGTCAGCGCACCTTGCTTTATAACCAGTTGAGCTTATCGCTCAGTTGAGATGCCGTGACTTCTTGCTTGATATCTGCCATGTCAGTAAGCGCTATCTCCGAGGCGGTACCACGCGCCCGATTCCGAGTTAGGCGCCGCGCCGCAGAAGAGCGGGAAAGCGCACATGTTGGCAGGCATAGTAGGACGCGCATGCGCTTTTCTGTGATCTCGAAACCAGGCGACCCACCGGCAGATGGCAGAGCAATGCGTT